CCTCATATGCATGTGAAAGCTGGACAGTGAATAAGGAAGACCGTAGAAGAATTGAAGCTTTTGAGTATGGTGTTGGAGGAGAATACTGAATGTGCCGTGGGCTGCCAAGAAAACAAACAGATCTGTGTTGGAAGAAGTGTAGCCATAGTGCTCCTTGGAGGCCAGGATGGCCAAACTTCATCTCTCATACTTTGGACATAATGTCAGGAGGGATGAGTTGGTGGAGAAGTATATCACGTTTGGTAAAGTTGAGGGTCAGAGAAAATTAGGAAGACCCCTAGCGAGATTGTTTGGCCAAGTGGCAGCATCAGTGGGCTCAAACGTAGCAACAACAGTGAGGTTGGCCCAGGATTGGACAGTGTTTCATTCTGCTGTGCATAATGTCTCTATGAGTCGGTACAGACTCAATTGCACCTAACAACAACAACAACTGTTTAAACATTGGCCGGAGTGATTTTTGGTAGAAGAGTAAGTAGGGTGAATTCATATTGTAAGCTTCCAATAGCCATACGTGTGCCATACTTGAGAGAGAGCTTGTCAATATCACCCTCAAAGTCGAAACAGTCTATAGAAGTACTACCAGTTGCAAAGGACTAAGGGAGGCATCATAGCAACCCACAATGAGATGAAGTTGTCAGTATCAAACAGCAACCAGTGAGAGAACTCCAAAATGACCCAGGAGACATAGCTAATGTCAACAGAAGCACTCTGGAACCAATGACAATACTTCTAATCAATATAGAATTTTCTACCTTTTTAGCTCTCTCTCTCTCTCATTGTTTTTTTTTTTTTTTCCCAATTGCTAAAATGAGACTGTTTCTGTAACTTGAAATGGTGAGATGATTTCACATCATCTGAAAGATACCAGAAACATCACAGGAAGTCCATAGACAGGGATAAGGTTGGGTGTATGGAGTGAGTTGTGGTGAGTTCTATTCTATTGGGAAGTACAGCCTTATTTCCTGATTTATGATATTAGTCTCATTTGCACAGTATACCTGTGCCACTAGTATATACAAAACCATGCCTAAACAAATACCATATTTTTTTGGTACTATTCTACTCAATAGAATCCTGATGTGGCACTGTAGGATAGGTACTGAACCACAAAGTCAGTTTGAACCACAAAGTCAGTGGTTCAAACCCATCAGCCACTCCTTGGAAATCCTACACATGATCACTATGAGTCAAAACAGACTCAACAGCGCTTAACAATAACAACATTCTACTCAAAGGAATACAACAATACTGAAGGAATCCTTAAATGAAAAGAAAAAAAAGAACCCAAAACAGAATGCAAAAAAAACCAGAACATAGGGAGCAGCTTCTTCAGTGATGAGCGAGGGACCACGGCTGGGTCACCAATGAGAAGCCTGCACCGTTGGCCAGTAGTGGAGATGAGTTTTCCTTTCAATCCTAAACCTTTCCTGAATAGACTAACAGGAAAGCCAGTGACAGTGAAACTTAAGTGGGGAATGAAATACAAAGACTACCTGGTATCTCTAGATGGCTGTATGAGCATGCAACTTGCAAATACAGAAGAATGCATAGACGTGGCATTGTCTGGGCATCTGGTTGAAGTTTTAATAAGATGGAACTTTAGGATCAGCTCTTGATTGAGAGCCGCAAGGTCAGCAGTTCAAACCTACCAGCTGTTCCTTGGAAACCCTATATATGATTGCTTTGAGTCGGAAACGACTCATCGGCACTTAACAATAACAATAATATCCTTTGCATCAGACGTATTAAAGAAGATGGAGAAATGAGAAAACAGCATCTTTTCTGGAGGATTTACATATACTTCTAGGCAATAAACATTTGTTTGTTTTTCAACTTGAAAAAGAAACAAAATAGAACATGCAAAGAATTGAGTTTGAAATGTTCTCTTAAAGTAGCTTTCAGTTCATTTAGCCCTGGCAGTTGTCTGGGTTTTCCTTCATCCCACTTCCCCCATCTTAAATTCATTAAATTAACGCTCAATGTCTAAAATTGCTTTTCCTGGCAATTCAGGGATATTGTGTGTTTCAACAAAGTTTTTTCTAGGCCCATAAAACATCTTTCTCTAAAAAGGAAATCACTGCTGGGATCAGGATGCTAAGATCTCTTTGAGACAAACCTCTTAGACTGGCCTTATCAGCTGCTCTGGGGGTGAATGTTTAAGGTGAAAGGATTTAGTTTACATATCAGACACCTAATTGAGATTTCCACAGTCATTGCTACACCTGAAGTTGCCTAGATGGATTCCTCCCTTGGGTGAAAATTTTCCTCTACAATGATCCTGCTGAAGAAGTTCAGGTTTTACCATTCACTGTGTTGCAATTCCTCTGTGCACAGCATTTAGCTACGGAAGCATTACACTATGCTCAGTGTTCTTAAGGGCATTTTTCTTTTCTTTTTATTTTCTAATTTTAGATATGGTTTTCTTCTATACCCAGATATCACAATTTCAAAGATCTCCCTTTAAAAGTCTTCAACTTTAAGTCTGCTTATGGCCATGTTTGAAAATAATGGCTACATTTGAATATGGTCTTTTTAGATGTTCAAAACTAAAATCCATTGTTGTTGAGTTAATTCTAACTCATGGCAAATCTGTAAGACAGAGTAGAAACCCATGGATTTCCAAGATTGAAATATCGTCAAACTGCTACATCTTTTTCCAACAGAGTGGTTCGTGGATTTGAACTGCCAACCTTTTGTTTAGCAGCTGAGTTCCTAACAACTGCTTTCCCCATTTTTTATGAATATTGCTACTTTTTCAAATATTATCATAGAATGCACTGCTTTATTGGTTAAATTGCAAACCTCAGAATAGCAAGAGCAAGTTGACAACAGAAAGGCTGGTCTCCAAACCTGTACCATCCTCCTATAGCTCGAGTTCAATGAACAGTCCTTCAGGAAACTCCTCCAAAGCTGTCAAGTTCTTGGCTATAATTGGTGACAAATCAGATGGGACCTAGACTAATCAACCATACATGGTGTTAGATATGAGGATGAGATCACAACTGACTGTCACCTTCAGCCAGGATGAGTCACCACAAGTCAAATGGATGGCCTCTTCCTCTAGTTTGTTGCTCCGTGGTCCTTGGAACTTAACCTTCAAACCCTGACAGACCTACTCCAATGACTATGCTGCCTCTCCTCTGCATCTTTCTGTTCTCCTCTGCTTTCTGCCTTCCATGTTTAACCTCCTTCTTCATCAAGTGTTTCACAGCTCCAATTTCTGTGCCCCTCACATAAGATTCTAGAATTAGAATGTTTGTGGTTCTGAGCTACTGTACATTGGCCCCCAATGTACAACAGAACAAAATGCTGTAATTGTAGAAGATGTGTAATTAATAGGGGGACATAGCTAATCTTTCATTTCAGGAACAAAGGATCCCAGGACCGTCAAGCAGGAAGAGCATGTCTGGAGCATGACATCCTACATAAAAACGTGGTAACTGCAGAGATGGTGGCAGAGGTGATGGCATGGAGAGAGAGAGCAGCTACAGATTCTAGGCCTGTGGACTGAGAAAGGCTGAGTGCCTGTGGGAAGGAGGCTGACTTGCAAAATGTGCCCTCTGGACATTTAAATGAATATGTATATTTTTCGTTTTGTAAGTATACCACAAATATTTTTATTCATTTGTGAAAAAATAAAATGTGAAAACAAAGCCATAGGGAGGACGCAAGGTAACTATTGTTGCAGGGAGGGGACTGTAATTGAGATGAAACAAAACCTGTGACTGATTGAAGATAACCTTCACCCAATTCACAATAAAAAGTTACAAGAGAAACAAACCAACAAATCCACAGCAACAGCCACTGCCCTGCTCAGTCCTTCGCCATCCCCATGACTGGTTGTGGCTCAGACTGTTGTGATCCATAGGTTTTTCACTGTCTGATTTTCAGAAGTAGATCACCAGACCTTTCTTCCTTGTCTATCTTGGTTTGGAAAGTCTGCTGACAAGCAAGCTGTGGCTGCACATAAGATGTATTGATTGAGAATCAAACCTAGGACTCCTGTCTTGAAGGCTAGAATTCTACTGAGGAATCACCAACTCAAAAGACTTCTAACAGGGTATTTCATAATTATAACATAATGAGTTGGGGGTCTGAAATTGCCAATGAAATAAGGATATATGCAGAGCTCTTCAGGAACTATTTGCAATTGTGGTGGGTTTGAGAGCATTTTCTTTGCTACTGAGGACTTGCTCTAAGTTTTGACTTGGAGAAGGGAAAAGGTGCCAAACAGTAGTCATATAGTGTTCTCTCTTTTGATCCAACGTGCAGATTGACGTCTCACTGGGAATCAGAGGTAGAAAAATAAGTTGATAAAACTAGCCTGCACACATCTCTAAATAAGAAATGTGCTTCTGTGTGGCCATAAGAATAAAAAGTGCAGGAGAATTTTGTTCTTTTGCGTAGATCCCTGATGTGCTCTGACCTCTCCAATATTACCAGCATTGGGAGAACCCATGGCCTGAACCACTGGCATTCTAAATGCAATATGGTGGGGAAGGGACAATTCCAAATGGATAAGAGCAAGGGTGGTAGCTCAGACAAGGAAGAATAAAGTCCACTGAAAAGATGTGCTATGGATTGAATTATGTTCTCCCAAAATATGTGTGCTAAATCCTAACCTCTATGCCTATGGTGGTGCTGTAGGATAAGCACTGGACTGCTAACCACACAGCTGGCCATTCAAATCTACCATCTGCTCCACAGAATACAGGTGAAGCTTTCTGCTCCCATAAACATGTACAGCCTCACACGCCCTAGACAGGGTCATTGTGAGTTGCAATAGACTAGGTGGAAATAGCGATGCCTGTGGTTATAATCCTATTTGGGAAAGAACTTCCTTGTTATGTTAATGAGTGTTGGGTATATCTTCAGTCAACTTCCTTTGAGATTAAAAAAAAGAAGAAAAAGAAAGAAATTAAACAAACAAACTGAATAGAAATGCAGACAGATTGACATTAAATCACATGGAGAGCTTCAAGGAACCAGAAAACAACCTGAAGAGATAAGAACCTGTTCTGAGAGCCCACAGAGAGAGAAAGGCTTCCTCCAGAGGCAACACTCTGAATTCAGACGTCTGGCTTCCTAAACAGCATGAATATTGTTTTTTGGTACAGCCATCACTGGAGGTATTTCTATTATAGCAGCGCTGGATAGTGAAGACAGGTGGTTGCTGCTGGAAATTGATTTATGAGATCCCTTTGTGGGTGGTTAAAAATAATGAATGGGCATATTATGAAAAGGGGCTAACTTACAGTAATTAAGGCTGGAGGGACTTGTGCCAACGTACTGTTTATAGTATAAGGAAATGGGGATTTTATTGCATAGTCAGAGGCTAGTGGAATCTGGCATGTTTTGCAAGTTAATGGTGCAGGAAAATAGTAGCCAACAGCTCTCATTTATTATTTATTACATTATGTCACTACACTAAAAATCATTCTTTCTATGCACTCACTCATTTATTCTTTACAACAACACAATATTATTGTTTCTAATGCATTGTACCTCTAACCATAAAGTTAGTGGTTCAAACCAATCACCACTCCTCAGGAATCCTATATAGGATCACTACGAGTTGAAACTGACTTTATGGCACTTAACAAAAACTATGGTCATCTTTTAGTAAATGAGAAAACATAGGGTTTCTGAGGCGTGGCTGATGTGCTTGCACCACTGTAAGTGGTTAGTGACCCAGTGCTTATCCTACAATGTCACACCAGGACCCCATTTGTTATTGCTGTTGTTAACTGCTGTTGAGTCGGTTTCGACACATAGTGACCCTGTATTGGGGTTCCATTGCATTAAATCTTTGCAGGAGCAAAAAGCCTCCTCTTTCTCCCATGAAGTAACTGGTAGGCTCAAACCACAGACCTTGTTGTTCACACTCCAGTGCTTATTGTATGGAGACACCACGCTCCATTGTTAGCAATCCCAAATCAGAGAGGGCATAATCTCTAAACCAGTTTCGGCTTCAACCAGCAACAACATGAAATCTATTTCCTTTCCAGCCCATCTGGCTGCCTCTTCCTGAGACCAGCTGGAGCTTCTCCTCCTTCACTAGAGAGCTGTCAGCAGGGCTGGGTGGCTGCTGCCCAGGCTCCTACCCTGCTGCTGGCAGATGCTCTGTCAGAGCGGAGACAAGCTGCCATGGAAGCGCTAAGGAGTCAGCTCCAACTGCCCATAGGAAAGTCCGACTGATGGATTCTGAAGAGATGCCTACAGCCAGGCCTCAGGATGAGAGCCAGGATGAATATGCAAAAGCACATAGTGTGGTCCCCTGGGTGTTGGGGGAGATTATTCCACAAACAAGCCTTGCTTACATCCGGCTGTATTATTTTGTCTCTAACACCACAGGAGTCCATATTGACTATTCCAACAGTCAATAAATAATTTCCTCACTTCAGCCCTTTTGACATTTTCAGCCTGATAAGTCTTTACTGTAAAGACTGCCCTATGCATTGTAGTGTTTAGAAGTATCCCCACTAACGTCCACTTGCAATTGTAACCTTCACAAATTTCTCCACGCACGGCCCAATGTTGTCCAGACTCAGTAGCAGGAGTTGGTGAGGTTGTTGCTGCTAAGTGCCACTGAGTCAGTTGGGACTCACAGTGACCCTGTATAGGGTTTGTGAGGAGTGGCTACTGAGTTTGAGCTGCCAATCATGAGGTAGCTGTCCTGTGCTTACCCTCCAGCATCCCACCAGGACTCGTGGAGTATGGAAACTTGAATGCCAGGCTCAATACAGTTCTCACAGACTAGATGATGTTGATATAGTCACTGTGCCACAGGATAGGTCTATATTTAAA